CTAAAATGTACACTAAGCCACACACCTACAGAGAAGAAAAGAAAAACACAAAAAAAGAACAACAACAACAGGATACCAACAGCACACAAAGCACTCACAATAATCACAGCTGCCACTCCCATCAGAGAAAAACATTCACCCACACCTGCAAATCAACTCAATCCCAAAAAAGAACAAGAAAAAAAACAGACCCATTACGTGAAGCCGAAGCGGAACAGTCTCAGTCCCCCCCCGCAGGCTGCAGTCACTCAAGCAAGCCACACAACAAACAACACAAGGGCACAAATATGTTCGTGGCAATGCCGTGAGTGACAACACCGAGAAAGAAGGTGAGAACCAAATGTGTTTTCATCACGTGGTGGTGTGAGTAGCAACCCANTCATTCCATAAAAATGAACACACAAGATACACAAGGTGTATTGGAAACGCAAAAGAGAAACACACAGCTGCACATAATGTGCAATGAAATTATAATGAAACACACACAAGGGAAAAACAATATAATGAAAACAAAATGAAAAGAAAGCCGTGATCACCATGTGAATATGTTCAGGAGGCAAGAACACAATTCCCAACAGTAGGTGTGTGTGTGTCTTTCGTACAGGGCGAGCAGTGGGAATGATGCACACATGATGGCAGTCCACACACACACACACAGGGAGAAGGAGGATTGGTAGTGTGCGTGTTTGTGTGTCTTGAACCTCGTGTCATTCTTCACATTTCAGTCACAGCAATTAAAACACATCGGGATTGTATCTCATTCCCATGGGTAAAAGCAATAGTTATTAATATCACGGAACACACACATCACCAGGAGGACACAGTGAATGGAGACAAAACCGAGCCTAGATAATAATGCCAACAAACAAGGAGGACACTCCCCTCACAAAATGATGGTTTGTCATGTGATGAGTGTCATAGGGAGTCCAATAGATTTGTTCTGAAAAAAATGCAAACAAGAGATTTATCGAACTGAAAAAGAAAGGAAACAGCAAAAATCAATAAAAAAGAAAAATACCCTTACAACGCATCCATATCCACTCATACAAAGGTTAACTGTACAACTGTGTCATGGGAACACCGATCAGCAAACGAGAGTGCAACCCAACAAACATAGAAGAAGCAACAATAAGGGACTGTGCATCAATGCAAGACGGACACTGCCGTCTTTCTTATTCTTGGCATTTTTCGCCCTTTCCGCACCTTCCTTTGCCTTTCGTGCCTTTTCTTCTTCAGCCTGTTTCTCTTGTTTCCTTTTTTTTTCTTCGGCCAGTTTCTCCGCCTCCGCCTTCTCCCTCCTTGCCTTCTCTTCCCTCGCCTTTTTCTCCTGTTCTTCCCTCACCTGTCTTGCCTTCTCTTCTTTCGCCCTTCTTACTTTCTCTTCGGCCCGTCTCTCTTCTTCCTTCCGCCTTATCTCTGCCTTTTTCTTTTCCTCAAATGCTTTCTGCTCTTCCATTTTTTTCTGTTTCAAGTTCTCTTTTTCCTCCTCCAATACCCGGTTCAATTCGTTCACAATTTTACTGGCGTTCACCTGGTCCGGGTATTCCCGAACGCGCGCCCCAGTAACCGGACTCGCCCCAACATTCGCATCTGTTGTTTCTTTCCACCCCACCTCCTTCGTTGCGTTCTCCCCTTCTTTCTCAGGAATCAATGAAGGGACCGCTTTGGTGATCTTCTTATCCCCAATCACCGGCATCGCAGTGACCATCTCGCTCTTTATTTCCTCCACTTTTTGATCATAATCCCTATGTGTCTTGTTGACCTTTTCCCTGACGTTCTCGAACCGTCGCACCGCCTCCTCCGCTGCGGACAACGCATCGCCCAAACTTCGCGCCACCTCGTTGGATATACCTCTACTGCGTTTCAAGCTGAACGTAAGGTTTTGCACGAGCAAATCCACCTCTCTTTCCGTTTTTCTGGTCCTGTTAATAAGATCTCCCCATTCCAACCTGTCGAACTTCCTGTTTTTCTCCTCCAGATCATCCGTATAGAACTTCAGATCGTTCTTGCTTTTCTCCGATCTCAGATCCCGCAAATTCCCAAGGAAAGCCGTACAACCAACCAACACCCTCGCCTCCTGAAGTGCCGATCGTGCCGTGGCAATAACTTCCTTGCTTTTCTTCACTTTTTCGCTCACCACACCCACTTGTTCATTCAGCTTTCGTTTAACCTCATCACCCTCGTCCACTCTTTTCACAAGATCCCTCGTCGTGTTGGCACTCTCTTTCACTTCTTTGGCAATATTCCAGACATTCGTGGCTACATCCGCGTACTTCTCATTGTTTCGCTCTCCCACTTTCTGACAAGCCGTTGCCCCTGGTACCTGTTCATCCACTTTCTTCAACCACTCTTTGATTTTTTCGGCATGTTTTTCACCTTCTTTTTTCTCGGTGTCGTCAGCGCAAACCACACAAGCACATAGCTGCAGAAGTACCAACACATACACCACACGGCGCAGTTGGACGAAGATCGTTGTCATGATTGCCACTGTGGGTTGCTTGGATCTGTGGTAACAAGGAAGAAGAGGAAAAGGAGAAAAGTAGACACACATTTAACACACAAGGCAGACAGTACACAGCAACACAGAAAGAGAGAGAGAGAGAGAACACACATCACAACAGCAATCAAACACAACAACCCAATGAGGGGAACA